AAATAAAAAAAAAAAGTAGGAAGCCAACGGAGATAAGACAATGAGTTAGAGAGCTTATAATCACAAGAGAAACAGAGTAGAAGTAGAGTATAAGGAGAGAGAAGCTGATTCGTCAAAATGGTGGAAAAACTAGAGTTGCAACAACAGATGAACTAGAGGACATAAAAGATAAGTAATGCTGCATTTTCAGGAAGACAAACTGAGATATATATATATCTTTACAATAAAGCTCTAGGGTAAACTGAGCCAATTTGTTTCTTACCATCTAAGGAAGCTAAGGTAACAGAGCTCCAGTGACGGAAATAATCACTTTTTTATCCCTCTGCACTGTGGCAAAGAAGTGAATGCTTTATACCTCTTAATGAAGCCTTGGCCTGACCGCTCTCCTGTCCAACTATCCTAGATAAGTTTAACGGTCAACTTTTTATGCCAATCCTAGGAGATAATATGTCCCAAGAAGATTCCAGAATAGAGAGTAAGTGAAATTCTAGCTTAAGTGATTATCTGCAACAGTTGGGCCCTACACCACATAAGGTCCCAAGCTGAGAGTCCTTTCTCAGAATTCTCATTCTATACATAAACAATTCTTAAATTTATAAATATTCTAGAACTCCTTTCTGTGCCCATCCCCAATAGCCTAGGGTCACTTTAAAATTAAGTAACTACTATGTGAAAGATTAGTGCTATGAGGATTGGAAGCCAGGAACCTAACACTTGAAGACATCATAAGTAACTCATCTGGAGTACCACCCCATGTCCGAGGATGAGAAGACATAACCAGTCAGGAAACGGGTCTGAGAGCCAGCCTGCAGTGGCGGCTGCTGAGGCTGAACTGTGCACACACTGAACCCCAGAGCTATCAGAATACTCACATGAGGTTATGCTATTTAAGACTGAGCAAAAGGTTTTTTGAAAGGAAGACAAAAGGAAAACTGCTAATCTGAAATGTTGTTTCTATTTAATTTCATGTCCGTCTTGACCTGTCCATCAGACTCTACACTGTTTCGGAGATTCCATTCATTCAGCAATTTTCATTTAGACCTATTGTGTTCTAGATATCAATAGAAGTAATGATACATGAGTAAAACAGATAAAAATCTATGCTCTCATGGAGCTTATATTTTACTATTAAAAAACAGGTACCACATTTATTCATCTTTATTATATTTTTTTCCAATGCCTGATTACAAAACTTGCTACAAAGCTAGAGTAATCAAAACATGTGGGACCAGTATAAAGATAGGCATATAGACCAATGGAATGGAATAGAAAGCCCAGAAATAAACTCTCATATATGGTCAAATGAATTTTGACAAGGATGCCAAAATCATTTAATGGAGAAAGGACAATCTTTAATCTTCAAATAGTGCTGGGAAAACTGGGTATCCACATGCAAAACAATGAAGGTGGACCCTTCTATTACACCATATACAAAAATTAGCTTAAAACACCTGAATGTCAAACACCTAAACATAAGGATTAAAAATTTAAAACTCTTAGAAGAAAACATAAAGGAAAATCTTCATGACACTGAATTTGGTAAGGATTTCTTTGATATGACACCAAAAGCAAGGGCAATAAAAGAAAAAATAGATAAATTAGACCTCATCAAATTTTTTAAAATTACATATCAAAGGACACTATTAAAAAAGTGAAAAAACAACCCATAGAATGGGAAAAAATATTTGCAAAGCATATATATGAGGGACTAACATCCAGAATATATAAAGAACTCCTACGACTCACCAACCAAAAAACAAACCACCAGAATCAAAAATGGGTAAAAGACTTGAATAGACATTCCTCTAAAGAGGATATACAAATGGCCAATAAGCACATGAAAAGATGCTTGGCTGGGGATGGTGGCTCATGCCTATAATGCTAACACATTAGGAAGCCAAGGTGGGAGGATCACTTGAGGTCAGGAGTGTGAGACCAGCCTGAGCAAGAGTGAGACCCCATTTCTACAAAAAATAGAAAAATTAGCCAGGTGTGGTGGCGCACGCCTCTATTCCCAGCTACTCAAGAGGCTGAGGTGGGAGCATCGCTTGAGCCAAGGACTTCGAGGTTGCAGTGAGCTATGATGAGGTCTCTGCACTCTAGCCCAGGTGACAGAGGGAGACCCTGAGACTCTGCCTAAAAAAAGAAAAAAAAGATGCTCAACATCATTAGTCTTTAAGGAAATTAAATCAAAACTACAATGAGATATTACCTCATACCCATTAGGATGGCTATGATCAAAAAAGAAAAGAAAAGAACAAGTGCTGGTGAGGATATGGAGAAATCTGAACCCATGAACATTGCAGGTGGTAATGTATTCTAAAATGGTGCAGCCACTGTAGAAAAGTTTGGGAGTTCCTCAAAAAGTTGAACATAGAATCCTATGTACACAAAAGAACTAAAAGCAGGAACTCAAACGAATACATGTACAGCAATGTTCACAGCAGTGTAATTCACAATAGCCAAAAGGGGAAAACGACCCAAATGTCTATGTGCAGAATTAATAAACAAAATGAGGTATATATGTACAATGGAATATTATTCAGCCTTGAAAAGGTGGGAAATTTTGACACATGCTACAACATGGATGAACCCTGAAGACCTTATGCTAAAGAAATCAGACACAAAAAGACAACTACTGTAAGACTGCACTTACATGATGTACCTAGAATAGGCAAATTTTAGACAGAAAGTAGGTAAGAGGTTAC